AGCAAAAATAAGGCAAGTTACCAGAAGTCACTGTTCAAGGTCAGGCTGGATGGGGCTCTGTGCACCATGATCTAGCTACAGATGTCTGATGGTGATGGTTGGACTAGATGATCTTAGTGATCATATCCAGCCTTAATGATTCTGTGTCCCTGTTCATTGCAAGGGAGTTGGACTACGTGACCTTTAAGGGGCCCTTCCAACTCAAATGATTCTGTCAGGTGGTTGGATTGTCCTCAAGCCAGTGGTCATGGCAGGCTGCAGGGCCCAATGCTGTACCTGGAAGCCATGTACAGAGAGCACAGGGGTATGCTCCCTTGTGCCTGCCCTATCTGGAAAGCTGTGGAAGAACTGGAGAGGCAAATCTTTGGCACCCAGGTGTTCTGCAGTGGGAAAAACTGAGCTGTTAGACCAGATCCTGGGGCTGCAGCTCTGCAGATAAGGAACTGCAACGAAGCACTGTTATATGCAGAATGGGGACAGCTCAGAGTTCTGTCTCTGGCTTTCTCTCCACAGTTCCCTTACGACCTTTTGCATGCAGAAACTTAAGGTAGGAGTGATCCACATACCTGGAACTTGCGTTTTGTCTCACTTAAATCCATCCAAGCAATTAGAAGTAGATCTGCAGGCTCTGAGGACAGTCAGACTCGTGTGCTGTGTGATGAAATTCACTTGGCTTAAGTGGTTGTTGAGCTGCAGAGGCCGATAAATAAATGAGCTCTTGGTCTTCGTACGCCTCTCAATTTGCAGACTTTGTCTCAGGTGGTTCAATGTCGCCTTAAATAATAAGGGCTGCAGGGCCTGATGAAAGCTCCTATTAGCTGGAGCAGCATGCAGAGATCCTAATCAGTGTCTGAAGTGCCTCAGTAGCATCTGAGATCCAGTTATGCTATGTGTAATAAGCAGCCTGACTTTCCAGGCGCTGCCTCTTGATGCACCGTGGGCAGTTTGCAGCTTAATGGCAGAACTGTCCATCGTGCCTCCGGGTGCATTTGGCTTTTTCATCACCTGGTGATGGAAGCAAGCCCTGTGAGCTTCAAAATGGGAACCAGACTGCCATTATTCATACTGAAAGCGTTGAATGAGACAGCAGAGGGGACGAGCTTCTGCCCACAGCCTGCGTGTGCATTTCTGGTTTTGTCCAGGGCTGGGGGAGGGGCTGATCTGAGGCCTAGAGTTCCCCAAATCAGAAACGCTCAGAAAATGAGCACAAGGGACAGTGGAGGAGGTCAGAAGGAGAGAGAAGCACTTATGGTACAGCTTCCATTTTAGAAGTATAACGTCAGAGAGGAGGCTGGAAAATGGGTGAGGACCTGAACCTGTGAAGTCTGGTAAGATTCTTGATTTAGATCTGGTTTAACGCACGCCTACCATGTGTTGAAGTAGGACAGAGCTTGAGAAAGGCATCTTTCCAGCAGAACGCTGGGACAGCTCTTGGGCATTCAAGGAGAAGCTGTACTTTGCTGAGCTGAGGCATTCAGCTGTGGCCCTAAACAAGCCAATGGGCAGTGGGGACAGTTCAGCATGCTCAAGGGAAGTCATTTCTTCAGAAACCAGATGTGGGGAGAGGTGAGGCAGTGAGAATTCCAGTGGTGGGACTTTTGGCCAGAATGTGGCTTGAGAAGCTCGTTGGCCTTTTAAAAAATGAAACAGAAAAGGGGACCTTGGAGCCAGACCTCAGTGTGACTAATAAGCCGTGTGTGAGGGAAGATGAGGCGAGTGCTGGGGTTTCTGCAGAAAGATAACATGCTTAATTACATGGTGCAGAAACCATAGGTAGAACAGAAGCAGCCCTGCTCAGCTTGAAAGGGGTAACAGCTGGGCTTGGGGCAGCAAAGGGAAGAATGGCAGTGAGCATTGCAAACTGCAGTGTCTGACTGTAAATGAACCCTGTGCAGGAGCACAGCATAGCAGTAATCAGTGACGGTTCTGAGAAAGGTGAGGTGTGTTGTGGCCAGCTGGGGGTTCGCAGCTGTAGACTTTGTAGATATCTGGTGTCTTCAGAGGCCTGAGGTCTCTCCTGGGCAATCAGAAGAGCAAGTGCTGTGCATTATGGTGTGGATGAAGCTGTTGGATGTTGATGGTACTCCCTGGGGAAGAACGCCTGGGTCTGTTCAGCTTGCTGTGCTGCATGCTTTAAGACATCAAAACTAGGTAGCAGCCATAAAGGTGGGTATTTAGTCATCAAATGTCAGTGAAAGTCCACGTGTGTGAGGATAAGTGGGTAAAACTAAACTCCATGAGCAGCTCTGCTGCACCTCTGTAGCTGAAGGGTCTGTGTTGCTGAGCATTGATCGGTCCAAACCTACCAGTGTGAGGGGTGAAGTGCAGAATGGAGCCCTGCAATAAGCCTATTAGCAAACATTCCCTGTGGATCCCAAAGGAACCCACTAATTTAGGATGCTTCTGGAAGGAGGGCTCGGTGGGACAGCTATGGGCTTCCAGAGAGCTCAGACTGTGAGTTTAGTGGCAGGTGAAGGTTTGTGTATTGGCTCTTCCATGTAAAGCTGAGCCTTCCCCTGGCTGCAACGTGATACTTGAGCGTGTGGGGAGCCTGCCAGGGCTTGAGTATAGCGCTGAGTCACAGCTCACAGCTGCAGCAGAGAAACTGGGAGAACCTTCTCTGGGCTCGTGCTGCCTGCTGAGAGCTCTGCTGCTAAGCAGAGGGCTTTGCAGGTCTATAAATCTCCAGAGTCAAGCAGCAGAAACCCTAAACTCTCAGCAGGCTTTGTCCAGAGGGGACTGCTGCAGTAGCTGTGTTGCTGTACGGAGCTCAGCCCCGTGGATGTGCAGGGACACAAAGGGCGAAACGAAGCTTGGTGCTTTCTGGGACTTGCAGTGCAAGGCTGGTCTATGTGCTGCCAGCCAGGGGAGCAAAGCACCAAAGGTGACTTTTCTGTGCATCACTGCAGTGCTGCATCTTGCAGGAAGCCTGGTGCTGCTCCTGGTTACGTGCTCAGTGCCTAGAAAGGAGTTACGTGCTTAACAAGGTCCCCTTTCTACTTTGGTAATTTCCCCACCAGTTCCCTGGAGAAATCTTTGTGTTCTCCACAGGTGTACGTTCCATCTGTCAGCCTGGTGAGTTGTTTTTTTTGAAAGGATTTTGACAGGCAACTTTCTTCTGTAATCCTTAATAGCTTCAAATTTAAAATGTTTATGGCAATGATAATCCTCCGAAACTCCCTGTAGCTTTAATAAATTTGTCCTTCTACAAGACTCCTGGTGGGAGGAGGTAAATCTAATTCTGCTGTATGCTTTCTGTGGTGATGACTATCTGCAGATGTGGCTGTGGGCATTTAGATTTAGATTTAGATTAATCTGCCCGGGCCATGCTTGAAACTGGTGTAGGACAGGAACATCTTGCTGAAAGCCAGCTCTAAAACTGGAGTCAAGACAGAAGCTCTACTGGAGGTCCTGGAGGTGTTCAAGAACCGTGGAGATGTGGCCTTGAGGAGCCATGGTTAGTGGACCTGGTGGGGCTGGGTTGAGGTTGGACTAGATACTAGATTGTCTTAAAGGCCTTTTCCTACCTTAGTGATTTTACTGAGCTGCCACATCTCTTGTGGTGTAGCAGTCAGTGATGGACTGTCCGGATTTCTGACTGGAAGATAAGAGAACATGTTGGGTTGTGACTTCTGGATGTCTCCAGTCCCAACTCACCAGAGTGGGGCTGCCTGGATCAAGAGGCTGCCTGGATCAAGATCTTGTCTCCATCTCCAAGGATGGACAACCTGTAAGCTGTAGGGCAGTGGGGCACCATAATTATGCTTGAGGAGCTTTGGGGGGCTGTGCCCTCACTGACACAGTGTTCACTCACTGATGGTGTGTAGTTCCAGGATGCCCAAATAAGATTCTGGGCTGGGCCATGCTCCCCTCCCAGCCGGATCCCTGTGCTTCCTGGTTGCCATCATAACCATGGTTATCTGGGCCTAGAGCAAACCTTGCCCCCGTCAGCACTGGTGTGAATGACTCAGTATTTGCAGAAGCCTTTCGTGTACAAACTATGACCTCATCCTCACAGGAGTGTCTGCCTGGCTTGGAAGGGTCCCACAGGTTCTGTTCTGTTGGCATTCCTCCGGTGTGGCAGGACACCTGGAGCAGCTGGATTTTGGGAACAATTTCTTCTCCAAAAGGGTGGTGATGCGTTGGGATTGATGGAGTACGTGTCCCTGGAGGTGTTGAAGAACCATGGAGTGTGGCACTGAGGGATGTGGTTAGTGGGCATGGACTTGGGGATCTGTGAGATTTTTTCCGACCTTAATGATTCTATGAGTTTTGATGCTGTGGCTCCGTCATCTCAGCTGCTCTGTGCTGTGTTGAGTGAGGCAGGGAGAAGTGATATGGTGCATTAACGCTCTTATTGTCAATGAAGAAAATCCCGTGTGGGAAGAGCATGCTCTTGCCACGTGAGCTTTCAAATCCTTATCTCCATAGATGCCTTAGGCAGCTATAATTTTAACATCTAACGTATTTTTTTGGCATCTCAAAAGCACATAAAATGCTCATGGGAAATGGAAAAGCTGAACACATTGTAGCTGAATTATCTGTCTTGTTAATCCATTCAACTAGCTTGTAACCCTAGAACATCACCACCCATCTCAGTGCTTCCTCTCATCAGCATCTTCCCTCAGGTGAAATGAAATGCACCTTCTTCCTCGTGGATTTCTCTCATTCTGGAAAACACCGATATTTCTAAGATGGAGGATAACATGAACAAATCCCAGCCTCTGAGATCAACAAGTCCAACCATCAGCCCGTGGCTCCAGTGGGACTAGATGGTCAGAGAGGTCTTTTCCAACCTTTCTGATTCTGTGAGCTGGGGGCTGGGCCCCACGGCGTGGCCTCCCTCTTGGATGAGTTTGGGTGCCTGCTGACTGCGCAGGTTTGGCCGGCTCCATTCTCCCATTCCTACACAGAGCACTGCAGTGCTGAGTTGCGATGGGAGCAGCGAGCGGCTCTGCGGTTAACCCGAGTCTCTCTTCTCTCTTCCTCTCTTGGTACAGGTGACAGAACTGAACGAGCCTCTGTCCAATGAAGAGAGGAACCTCCTGTCCGTCGCCTACAAGAACGTCGTGGGGGCACGGCGCTCGTCCTGGCGAGTCATCAGCAGCATCGAGCAGAAGACCTCCGCTGATGGCAATGAGAAGAAGATCGAAATGGTCCGGGCCTACCGCGAGAAAATCGAGAAGGAGTTGGAAGCCGTGTGCCAGGACGTGCTGAGCCTGCTGGACAACTACCTGATCAAGAACTGCAGCGAGACGCAGTACGAGAGCAAAGTCTTCTACCTGAAGATGAAAGGGGACTATTACCGCTACCTGGCCGAGGTGGCCACGGGCGAGAAGAGGGCGACCGTGGTGGAGTCTTCAGAGAAGGCCTACAGCGAGGCTCACGAGATCAGCAAGGAGCACATGCAGCCCACCCACCCCATCCGGCTCGGCCTGGCGCTCAACTACTCCGTTTTCTACTACGAGATCCAGAACGCCCCGGAGCAGGCCTGCCACCTGGCCAAGACGGCGTTCGACGACGCCATCGCCGAGCTGGACACCCTCAACGAGGACTCCTACAAGGACTCAACGCTCATCATGCAGCTCCTCCGCGACAACCTAACGCTCTGGACAAGCGATCAGCAAGATGACGACGGTGGAGAAGGCAACAATTAGACCCCCAGATGGACTGGCAGCCGCACGCTGATGCTAACTACTGCAGTCTTTATTTTTTTCCCACGAGTGGGGGGGTCAGGGGTGGGGGAGGGATCGGGAGGGGACACCTTCCCAGGGAGGCCCCCACAACCTGTCTTTGATTGCCTCTTTGACATTTTTGCCAAAACACCACTAGTGGAAGTCAGGCTGGCTGTGCTGGTATGGAATATAGCAGCCTCACTGGCATATGGACTGTTCTGTAGATTATTAATACAAGTGGAGCTGTCTTTAATTTAACTTTATTGCTAGAAATAAAAGGGTTTTAAGATGAATTAACTTGGAATGGAATGGCCCTCGTTTTTGAGAAAAGCTACACAAAAGGAAGTTCTGTGGTTCCAGTAAGGCTTTGTGCGTTTGTTTCCTCAGCTCAAGTGCCGCGTCCGTACCGGAGCGCTCTGCCTGTCAGGGCCCAGCTTCAAATCCCCACGTTGAAAAGGAATAATAATAATAATTTAAAAAAGTCTAAAGAGTTTGGGGCTTGTAAAGCTCCAGGATTTAGGCCATTTAATCTTTTTTTGTGACAGATATTAGGGTAGCTTACAGTATTAACACTAAATTGCAGTTTACAGTATTTCTACATTACAGCCATATGACATCAAGCCTTTGATTGTCTGTTTTCTTTTGCTAGTTCTTTTGGCTTGCCTTCCTGATCAGTCCTCGCCTGTGGACTGGCTTTAGCTATTCTGTGTCGCCCAAGGCAAGAAGACTGCCTGCCCCACGAACATCAAAAGCTGCTCTAGTTTTTGGTCAACAGCTTAACAGGTGCTTGGCTAGCGGCTGTTTAAACTATTTTAGTCCACAGCAAAAGGTTTAAGAACTTAATTAGGAAAAGGGGGAAGTGTTTAAACTTAAAATGCCACTGAAAAAAAAAAAATAATAAAAAACAATAATAATAATAAAAAAAAAAAAGAGAATTCAGGTCTGTATGTCATGTACTGTGTTTGGTATTTCAAAGACCATCCTGATTTAAGGTGCCACAGCTGCTTCCTCAGGGATTGCACTGCCATTTCACTCTGCCTGACTTTCTCCCACTGTACCATGAGGTTTGTCAGCAGATCTCAGGCACCCGGGCTCCCTTGTTTGTCACCAGGGAAGCCAGGTGCGATTTCTTTCTCCTGGGGAAGCTTGTGGTGTAATGAGTGAACTTCAGGAGCTTAGAAACTAATTTGGTAGAGAAATCCTCAAGGGAAGAGCTACAATCATAGACATTTCTATCAAGCATCAGGAGCCCAGGAACTTAGTTCTCAACAAAACCTTTTCCAAATCTCTTATCTGCCAGGGGGTGGGAGAGGGCCGTCCGAGTTGCTTAGCAGGTGAGGTTTACCCCATTTGGAGTCAATTTTGTTACCTAACTGTTGGAAGTTCCCTGCTGCCCCGCGTTGCTCCGGCCCACAGCTGTGTGCTTTCCCCATCCCGCAGGGGGTGCAGCGATGCCGCGGCCCCACAGCTGCTCTTTGGGCTCTTTGGGGTGCCTTGGTAGAGCCGTGCCCGGGCTGACGGCCTGCAATGGAGGATCTGTGTAGCCGCCTTCCCTCCCCTCGGTTTTCCCCTCGCTGTCCGGTGAGCAGTGTTGTCCCGGCTGTATAATTTGGAAGTGATTTACTGGAATTACAAAACCTGTTGGGTTTTTTTTGTTGTTGTTGTTGGTTTGTTTTCCTTTCTGGCTTTGGCTCTGGCTGCTTTAGGAAACCTGCGCAGGAGAGATGGCACGAGAGGGCTCCAAGGGGAGTGGGGTCAGGGGTTGATTTTTAAGCAGCTTGAATGGTTTCTTTCATTTTCTAAGAAATGCACTTGCCTATGATACTGTCTCTCCAGTGAAATGATTACTGCTCCATTACTCTATTGATACAATATTGTGCATGCTAGTGTCGTATTTCTATACAGTAGCTTGAAATTTATTAACTTATACTGTAGATGTTATGTATTCCTATGACAAAATAGTCTTCAAAAATTTTTTAAAGTTTTTTAATTTATTTTTCTTTTGGGGGTAAAGTTTGCTCTACCAAATAGTGATCGTAACAAACTGATCTGTTATGGATGTTGCTATAGTGACATGCAATTATATATGATTTTGTTTTTAAAAAGGAAAAAAAAGCAAAAGAAAAACACCAGTGTTAGCTTAATCTTAATGTCTGGTGTTCGTCATGGTGAAATTATAACTATTACAGTGTAGGAGAACAATGACTGTGTTCTTTGAATGAGCCTTTGTTTGTGCTTTTTGTCATGTTATGCAGTGAACTATTTTTAAGGTCTAATCAGTGATTATTTTTCCAACTCCGTGTTTCTGTAAGGAATTATTTCACACACGGACCATTCTTAGCAGTTTTCCTCAGTGATGGAATATCATGAATGTGAGTCATTATGTAGCCGTCGTACATTGAGCAAAATAAACTTACAGATCTGACGTCAGCGCTGCTCAATTCTCTTGCGTCTCTCGAGTCGCCGGGGGCTGGAGGGCGGCTTGGCATCCACCTCTTCCCAACCATTCGCATCCACCTCTTCCCAACCTGTGTTGGTACCCCAGCCATTCGTGTCCCATTCCCACCCTTGGCCTTGGGGACATCCTGGTGTCCCTTCCCAGCTGTCGGCATCCGCTTCTTCCTAACCCGTGTTGGCATCCCCCTTCCTTCCCAACCTATGTTGGCGTCACCTTCCCAACAGTTCTCATCCCCAACCGTTGATGTCCCCTTCCCACCCTTGGCTTTGGGGACCTTGGGCAGTCCTTTCCCCTGGCCCAACACAGGGCTGAGGACCCCATGGGTGTAATCTCAGTGCCTTGTGCGTGGCCGCGCTCTGCCTGTCCCTGCCTCGCTGCCTCCCAGCAGCTTTTTCCGCTCAGCACGCTGTGCGCTGACTCACTCTGTAAAAATAATCCCCTCCCTTGGAAACTGAACGCCCAAAGTGGGTGTTGTTGACTCGCCCACGGCCAGGCTGTGCTGCTGCCTCCCCACCTGTGTGCCCAGCCCTGGGGCCTGGCACAGCGCTGCCGTGCTGATAAAGGTGCCTGGGGGCTGGGACAGCACACGGTGCCGCCTCCAGCTGCGGTGCCACCCTGCTGCACTGGGTGACGTGTGTTCATTGCACACCTCTGCACACAGCCAGGATGTCCATTGCTGGTCCCTAGGGCTGGCACTGCTCTCGCTATGGCAACTGTCTCCACCACTGGTTTCTGTGGCCACCCATCCCATAATGTTACACGTGTGTGCCCTGGGGGTCCCCGTGCTCTGGGGGGCTGGGCTGACAGAGGAGCCCCACGGCTGTAGGATTCCTCCCCGGTCATTGCCTGCCTCCGGGATGACTCAGGGGGGATTAGAGGGATTTGTAGGAGCAGGAACACGGCTGCCGGCAGCCTGGCCATGTAGGGCCAGCCCTGACCCTTGCATGGAGGTGTGGGCACAGGAAGGGTGTGAGGATTCTGACACTGTGCCCGGCCCCTTGAGCTGGGGCTGGAGGTGTGCAAAGCCCCATCTGCCCGACTCATCCCAATGGGGTGAAAGGAAGGAGCATAACGGAGTGGAGGCTGTGCATCCCAGAAGGAATTGTGAATGGCAGCATGCTGCTGGGTTGGGAGTCCTGTTCTGACCTCCTGAGCTTCTGCCCAAGCTTCCCTGCAAGCTGCAGGGGGTGCCTGTTTTATGGGATGTAGAGACCCAGGGTGTTGGTTCCAGGATGGGGATACGCAGCAGGTTGGACATATGAGATGTTGAGATCTGGGGTGGTGATGCTCAGAGCTTTGGAGAAGAGGAATGATGAGGTGTTGAGACCCAAAGTGCTGAGATCTGAGGTTTTAGGGACCTGGGATGGAGGAGAAATGGGATGCTGAGATCTGGGAGATGGGAGACCTGGAATTTTGGGGACCCTGGATACTGGTCGCAGTGCTGTTGGAGAGTCAGGATGTCATGACCTCAAGTGGTAGATATGTAATGTTGAGACCCAGGACTCTGGAGACCCAAGGTGTCAGATCCCCAGGACATGGAGACCAGGACATTAACCTTGGGATGTTGGAGACCCACACTGCTGAAACCCAGGGTGTGGGAAGCAGGGACATGGCCCTGCATGAAGCCAGCAGTTGGACTCAGTGATCCTTATGGATCCCTTCCAACACAGGATAACCCATTATTCTATGATCCTACGACTCTGGAGACCTGGGATGTCCAGATGTGGGGTATGGGGTGTGAGAAATGGCATGTAGGCTCTAGGATGTGGCCGGCAGACACAGGGCAGGATTCTTCCGTCACTTTTATTCCCATCATTTTTTTCTTTTCCTCCATGTTTTTTCAAGGCACTGGGGTGATGGGTGAGTACAAATAAAAAATACAAAGGGGGGCAGGAGTTGGGGGCAGGCGTGTGGGGTGCGTGGCAGGGACAGCAGCCGGGCCTCTTCCTACTTCTTGGCTGGTTCTTCCTTCTTGGCCTCAACGGTGACAGGGATGGTGATCTCAGATGACTGGATGGCCGGTTTGGGCAGCGGGGCTTCCACTGTCAGCATCCCATCAGGGGACAGAGAGGAGCGCACGGCTGTGGCTTCCACACCGGGGGGAAGGCTGTGGAGAGAGGGGAGAGGTCAGAAAATCCCCACATTTGTGTGCCCCCTCTCTCCCCAGCCTGGTACTTACGTGTATTTGCGGGTGAAGCACCTGGAGATGAAGCCGTGCTCGTCCTGTTTCTCCTCATGCTTGCCTGGAAGGAATAAACAGCAAAGGGTTGGTGCCCATTGGGTCTCCACAGTTGTGGTTTGCCTTTCCCTGCTCCATCAACTCTGGGATGGAAGCACTCCTGCTTGCCCTACATGCAGCCCTGAGTGATGGGAGACACCTGTGTCCCTACAGGAGAAGCCCCTACACTTGAGGGCAGAAAACAGACGGTGATGGTGGACCCAACCGACCTCCATTGCCTTTGTTTCAGCTTCCCATTGTGCTGGGCACACTGCTGGCCTCATGCCATGGGTCTGTGTTTTGTCACAGCACCCCTTGCTGAGCCCCCTCCCAGACATGCAGGGATGCTCAGGGTGCTGTGGGCCTGGCTCTGCCCCATGGCACTGCCAG